GATGGTTTGCTCAATTTCGATCAGATTTTTTTCTGGTACTTTTTGTAAGTCTTACAGGATTAAGGCGAGGCATACATACATATATCAAATCTGCGCACATATGCATAAAATATAAGCATATACATATGTATGTATATGTATATATAAATATATATGCAAATATGTATGTGTATATATGTATATGTATGTGTAAAACTCAAGACATAAAAGCATAGTAAAAATGCAGGGAAATAAGGGAAACATCTTTGAGTGTGTTATAACTTATAACTTTGGGTATTGAGCATTTCATCATTGATGTAAAAGGTATATGTTAACTGGCGGAGGTTCGAATTCCATCGTCATACCTATATCAAATTTTATAAACCAGGCCCTGCAGAGTTTTGAAGTCGACCATCAATAGATTGGTTGAAGGAAAATATCCATCTTAACCAGAATCTTAATCTTGTTTTTGCTGTTGTGGTTCTTGTTTTTGCCCGGCAAGGGCGAGAACTTGCAGCGTATCATCCAACATGTTTGAAGGTTGGGGACAAGACCTGACAGCGTAGCACCCAAGATTATTGAAAGTTAAGGACAGGTCTTACAGCGTGTCATCCAAGATGGTTGAAAGTTAAGGACAAGATCTTATACCGTACAATCCAAGATGATTGAAAGTTAAGGACAGGGTCTTAGACCGTAACATCCAAGATGCTGGAAAATTAAGGAGAGGATCTTACAGAGTAGCATCAAACATGTTTGGAACTTAAGGACAAGACCTGACACCGTAGCATCAAAGGTGTTTGAAGATTGATGGCAAGGTCTTACAGCGTGGCATCCAAGATTCAAGATGTTTGTAATTCAAGGACAGTGTTTTAGGGCATATCATCCAAGATGTTCAAAGTTAAGGACAAGAGCTTCGAGCCTAGCGTCCAAGATGATTGAATGTCACGAGCACGATCTTACACCGTAGCACTCAAGATCATTGAATGTTGAGGATAAAGTCTTACTCCATAGCAACCAAAATCATACAAAATGTTTGAGAGTTCAGGACGGTCTCTTCTTGTGCAGCATCCAGATCTTCAAAGAACTTGCTATTATTTCTTTTGTTCTCGTTTTCGTTTTTGTTCTTGTCATTGCTGTTGTTATTGTTGTTATTGCTCTTGTTTTTTGTTCTTTCGTTCTTGTTTTTGTTATTTTGGTTGGGTTGGGGTTGTGGTTGCGGTTGTGGTTGTGGTTGTTGTGGTTTTTGTTGTTGTTGTTGTTGTTGTTGTTACTGTTGTTAATTTTGTGGTTATTGCTTTTGATCTTGTTCTTGTGGTTGTGGTTTTTGCTCTTGTTCTGGTTCTTGTTCGTTAAGGACAAGAACTTACAGCGTGTCATCCAACACTTTTGGGGGTTAGGGACAAGACAAACAGAATCTTAGAGCGTAGCATCCAACATGTTTGAAGGTTAAGGACAAGATCTTACTTCGTAGCAACAAAGATTTGCAAGTTAAGGACCAAATTTTGCACGGTAGCAACCCGGATGATTGCAAGAACAGGCTGTGATCTGACAGCGTGGCATCAAAGCTGTTCGAAAATCAAGGGCAAGATTTTGCGGCGTAGCATCAAGGATGATCGAAAGTTAAGGACTTGTTCTTAGTTTTGTTTTTGTGGTTGTGCTCTTGTTCTTGATATTGTTCTGTTTCTTGTTCTTGTTTTTGTTGTGGTTCTTGTTCTTGTTCTTCGTTTTGTTCTCCATCTTGTCCTCCTTGTTCTCATTGTTCTCCTTGTTCTATTCGTTCTTGTTCTTTGTCTTCTTCTTCTTCTTTTTCTTCTTCTTCTTCTCCTTCCCCTTCTTCTTGTTGTTCTTCTTGTTGCTGTTCTTGTTTAGGGTTGTTTTTGCATGTTTTTGCAAGGTCTGTGTCGCATAAGCCGGGACTGTCTATCACACCGGGGGGGACATTATGGACAATATTTCAAAAACCAAATGCAAAGGAAAATTGCCGCTCGTTTAGTCGAATTGCCACTTGCTCAAACAGCCACTTGCAGCCACTTGCTCAGGCAGCCACTTGCAGCCACTTGCAGCCATTTGCTCAGGCGGCCACTTGCAGCCACCTGCAGCCACTTGCAGCCACTTGCAGCCACTTGCCAAAGCAGCCACTTGGCAGACACTTGCAGCCACTTGCAGCCACTTGGCAGACACTTGACAAAGCAGCCACTTGGCAGCCCCTTCCAGCCACTTGCAGCCACTTGCAGCCACTTGGCAGCCACGTGCTCAAGCAGCCACTTGGCAGCCACTTGGCAGCCACTTGCAGCCACTCGCAGACACTTGCCCCAAGTGGCTGCAGCAAGTGGCTGCCAGGTGGCCTCTTTTTTGAAAATCCAATTGCGCACCTCTTGCGCCCACAACGCAAACTTATCAACATTAAGCACGTTTTGAATTCATTGTGCGAAAAATTCAGCTGCTGGTCAGCAGCAGGGAACCTTTGCTGAGCAGCAGGTTTCAGTGACAATGTTTTTCAGTGCTGCTGCACAGCAGCAGGGTTCAGCTAGAAGTCTGTTGACATGCAAGTGCCTATCCTAACTTAAGCTGCTGGTCAGCAGAAGGGAACCCTTGCTGAACGGCAAGTTTCAAGGCAGTTGCTGGGCAACTAATGATCTTATGGTTCTGGTTCAATCATGGTATAAGTGGCTGGTGTCACTAACTGTCTGCTGCTGTGCAGCAGCAGGGTTCAGCTAGAATTTTGCTGGCTAGCAACCGTCTAATCTTGTTTAAGCTGCTGATCAGCAGCAGGGAACCCTTGCTGAACAGCAAGTTTCAAGGCAGTTGTTGGCCAACTGATGAGCTTATGGTTCAGGCATGGGATAATTGGCTGGCGCCAGTTAACTTTTTGCTGCTGCGCAGTAGCAAGGTTCAGCTAGAATCTTGCTAGCCAACAGCATCCTTTTGAAACTTGCAGCTTTCCAGCAATGGAAAACTTAGAAGCACCGTTGGCCAACAGCAGCCTTCCTTTTTAGCAACGGTTTCCTGCAGCTGTCGAGCAGCAGAAACTTCAATAGGCAACTAAATCAAAAACATTGAAGCCATTAATGGCCAACAAGAACCTTGCTGTTCAGCAAGGGCCCCCTGTTGCTGACCAGCAGCTTAAACTAGGTTAAATGGTTGCTGGCCAGGAAGATTCTAGCTGAACCCTGCTGCTGTGCTGCAGCAGAAGTTTACTCACACCAGCCAGTTATATCATGATTAAACCCTAAGTATCTTTACTTGCCCAACAACTGCTTTGAAACTTGCTGTTCAGCAAGGGTTCCCTGCTGCTGACCAGCAGCTTAGGCCAGGATAGACAGTTGCTGGCCAGCAGCTTTTTTAAAGCCCTGCAGCTGTCGAGCAGCAGAAACTTCAATAAGCGCTTAAACCAAAAGCGTTTAAACCATTGCTGGTCAACGAAAACCTTGCTGCTCAGCAAGGGTTCCCTGCTGCTGACCAGCAGCTTAAACAAGATTTGACCCTGTCAGGCTTTGCATCCTTGCTGAACAGCAAGTAACTATCAGCACCCAGCTAAGGATGACAAATGATCTCGGCAAGCATCAGTTCTTACAATAATCATTTCCCTCTTGGTGTATATCATTATAATTAATGTTTCCATCAATGCTTGTTGATGCTTTTCACATGTCGCCACAATGATTTCGATGGAAATCTTCCATATCTATCGCTGTTGTTTTCATGGCTTCCTTTGCAAACTTTCATTTTCTACAATACAATTTGTTAAGATCTATAGGCACTGTTTCCTCCAGTGAGGTTTATCTGATACCGCCCTTCCATGCAACCCTTTCATGTACACTGCCATTGTTTCCATTGATCCCTTTGATGATCTGCAATGTGCACCAGAGAGGCGCCCACTAGGCCTGGTGGCACCTACCCCAGTTTTCCACTTGTTAAAGTTATCACCATGGATTCTATGAGTCCATGAATGGAAGTTCATGATCGTCATCATTTTCCATGGTTCCCCTGTTCCTGCTTAACAGCCAGCAAGTATGTCATGTCCACGGCAGACAGACTGGAATGGTTTGAAACGGCTTTGCAGATACTTGAAAGGGGTTCCCCGATTGATTTGGAAATACCCTGATCAGGTTGAACAAGACAGTTTTACAATGTTCACAGACAGCGATGATGCTGGGTGTTCAAAATCTCGCAAGTCAACATCTGCCGGGGCACTTTTACATGGTTGCCATTTGATCAAATTCTATTCAAGTACTCAACATATCATTTCCTCGAGTTCTGGCGAATCAGAATTTTATGCTGGTATCAAGGCTGGATCAACATTGCTGGGAGCGATTTCTATGGCGATGGATCTGGGGGAAATGAGAAAAGGCATCTTGACTTTCGATGCAACTGCGGCCAAAGCTATGCTGTCAAGAAAAGGGCATGGACGTGCAAAACACATTGACAGATCATTTTTGTGGCTGCAGCAAAGGGTGCATTCAGGAGACCTGCAATTAGAGAAAATTGGAACGAAGAAGAACGGTGCAGATTTGGGCACCAAGCACTTGGACCGAACTCAAATGGAAGCCCTGTGTTCAGAGCTCAGTCTAGAAGCTGCCGAAGGACAGCACAAACTGGGCTTGGCAGTGTAGGTGGTGCTATGCGACACGCGCTAGCACCAGGAGGGCATGCAGAAGCCCATACGTTTAGCCATGCGAGATCAAAACACGTGTAGTGCCCAGGGTTCATTCGATCCATACCAATTTGCATAAAGGCTTACATCTAATATAGGTGAATGTGCACTATACGGAGCACATGGGATTGATGGGCGCTTTCAGACTATATATATGGTAGCACTCAATCGTCGTTTTAAACCTTTTACCTTATCAGGACTGCTAGTGTATTTAAGTGTCAATCTACATTCAAGAAAATTGATGTTTTAGAAATTACAAACAAACCCTAAACTACCCTAAAATCATCTCCTAAACCCTAGGCCAGCAACATCGTTTTTGTTTTCGAAGACAGGTGTGGCGCCCAACATCTCCACTGTTGCAGCTGCTAAGGATCAAGCCAAGAACAAAGAATACCGGCCTATGTCTCTTGTGGACCGCAAGAGGCGAGATCGATGATCTCCATGATCTCATGGGCATCGATCTATGGGCGGATTCCTGATGGAATCTCCTGGTTCTTTACAGAATTTTACAGATGATTCACATTTACTGAACCAGATGTAGCTGGCTTAACAGACTTACACTGCTGAAAAAAACATTTTGATACATAAATCGATACATATCGATAGTACTTGTTCCGTCAGTACTGATGCTATTCAATTCAGGGGGACGAGAAATTTTTTCAGGTATGAAATTTGGTCATTTTGAGACACCAAAGCATCAGTGCTTGGTGTTTATCAAACTCGCGGTGCATGATCAATTGTTTGCACAAAGCTCTACATCATCTAATAAAAAACCAGGAAATAGTAGGGTGTTGACTAACAGCAGATTTGGTCTCAAAAAACCGCGCAAAAAAAGGTGGGGTTATCAGATGAATAGCTTCACCATGCTTCACCAAATCGCTAGGTCAATGGGTGTCGACTTTGGCCCAAGTTTTGTGGGTTTGGCGCTTTCACTAGGCGCTGCTGGGGATGAAACCAGGGGTGTCCATGTTGCGGTTGGTCTCCAAAACCATGGGATGCCATGGGTCAAATCATGTAAGTTGCAAATCCTTGTGCCCGTACCTTCGCAGTTTTTTGACTTCAGTCTCGAAATTCACAAAAACATATGAAACATGTTAGTGACACCTATTATGTTCTCGTTCATTGTCTCTAAATTTGGATTGCCACAAATTGTTAATTTTGGGTGCATCCAGGACAAAGCTTGCTTACATGGGTTTGTCCAAAAATTGGGCACCACAAATGCCAACGGATTGTCAGTGTCATCATCGTGAAAATTGTCATTTGGGGCTATATGCATATTCCAATCTCAGACACACACACAGAATGCGGAGCCCGCTAGTTAGTTATTTTTGGTTAAAAGACACATTAAATTACTAGTAGTTCGATCGCTATATCTACTATAAACCATGATTAACCTATAGTCATAAACCAACTTGGCTATCACAAATCAACTATCGATCCCGCGAAATGACAAAATTTTTAATGATCTCCCCATAGCCAAGCGGCCCCAGGCGGCGTGAATACCATGCCCATGGGCACCTTGCGCACGGGCCAGGATCAGCGGTGGTGATTTACTGGTGATTTACCTAGCAAACATATAGAGATTTAACCAAGAAAACTCGTGGTATAATGGGGATAGAATGGTATACGGTATAGAATAGGGATGAATGGGGAATGTTTGTCCACATATGAAGTAGTTTCATTCAGATTCTGTTAGATGTATACAAAATATCAAATGAGCTTAGTTGAATCTCATTTGAAGGATCCAGAATCGTTGAATATCTTTTGCTTTAAATCTTGCTCATCCAAATTATTTGAACCTAAAGCGTTGTTTTTCCTCGAAAGACATTGATAGTTTGTTTTTCCCGAAAGACGACTTTGTGGTTGGATGGACAAAAGGTCCTCCTCCCTTGCTTGGGCAGAGCAGTTGCCTCACAAGGTATCTAATTTTTGTTTGGAAGTGTTTGGATGATTTTGGATGCAGGTTCAATTCCAGAACAGATGATGTATGATACATATATAATTTGTGGGCATGTCTACATCATATAGAATCCTAAATTTGCATGGTTTGTCGAATTCAACCTGCCTTCAATATATTACAGTATAAGCTTTATCCCAGCAGGATGGTTCTTTTCAGTCGGCTCTGAGCTGCAATTTTATACCAATGTTATTTCAACCCCAGATCTGCATAGATCGCTGGTTTTGAGGGGGTGGGGTGATATTTTTGGGGTATTATACAAATTAGCATGTTGCATGTCATACCCATTGAATCATGAAAATCCATAGATGATTTCCAGTAAAGACATTCCCAGCCCAGCCTCTTTGTGCTGCTCTTTGCAGGTTCGAAGTGGTGCCCCCAGTTCTATGTTGGCTCTGCTTCACCCCAACCATGGATATATCTTCCACAACCCCTCAACTTACAAAGCGAGTTAGCTAAGGATTCGGGGCACCACCATTATATAGTCATTTTTGCGGGTTGAATATCCATTTTCTATATTTCTCTATATATTTTGTATTTTTGTTAAGTTAAATTCATTGAAATCATTTTAAATCCACCATCTTTAGTGGTTTTTCAATTTATAGCGCCAGGACTGGAAAGATTTGGCCATCCAAATCGCCCGCATTGCGAGCACACAGCGTGTCAAGGCGAGGCGTGGCAGATTACAGGGGGGTGCCGTTCGGAATTGCGATTGGTTGGAAAAAGCATAGGAAAACTATAGGAAACTTGGATTTTCATGGGATTTATGGCTGATTTATGATAGCTAAGTTGGTTTAGTCCAATTTCACTATGGTTTTTGTTGGTGATATATCGAACTACTCAATGGGGTTATAACATATTATAACCCGGTTATAACTGGGGGGGCACCACCTTGTTCGTTGTTGATATTTGTCTATTGCATCTTTTTGAAATAAATCTATTGAATTATTTAGTCAGACTAGCTAGAGATGAATCGATCTGTCCAGGGTCCTTGAGTTTTTTCAAACCATAAAGATGTTAGACCTTTTACGCTATGGGTGCTCACTTACAACCATTGTAGCTGGGGCTGTGGTGCTGAATGCTGGTGTCTTTGGCGCCATCCAATTATTTGCCTATCTCTCGGCGATGCTTATATGCATGATATTATTTGATAGTATATGATACATAATTGTACAGATTGATATACGCATATCAGTTCCCGGACTGGGTTTCAGTACCGAAGCGATTCTCACCTCACACAAAATATGCATGCATATCATATCTGTATGCACACAGTATGCATACAGAAAAAGTAATTATTTTATGTACCCCTAAATCAGACCAATGTGGTTTATTCAAGTAGTAGACCTCTGGTAAACTAACATAGCTTTGGAACATCACCATCTTTAATATAGGTAAAACAGCCATAAATGTGCCATTTTCAACAGCAAACTGTTAAATTACCAGAGGCTATACTTGGAGCATCTGGGTTAAATGCAGCTTGCACTCTGCCAGGACATTGTTGTTGGACAGCCGTTGAGCAGAGATGGCACGGAGGGCAAGATAGGCCTGCCTTCGGCAGTGCTTTTTTGGGGTCCATCTCTGCTTAATACTCGGATCTTTATCCTACATAGCAAGTGGTGAGACCACATGTATATGAGTATATATATATATATATATATTGTATATACATCCCAGTTATATGTACGGTATAACCACAGTTGTGAACCATATCATTTTGTGGGATGCACATCTAAGTAATTACTTTTCATTTTTTGTGGAGCCTGAAAATTGCAGCATGGCTTGTGGATTTGTCTTGATACGACTTTCAAGACTGAGTCCATGTTGGACTCCCCCTGGTTTTGTATTGGATCTATTCATGTTGAGGAGAGTTTATAATATTGGTAATATTAGCAGGAAGGGATTTCTTTCATGACCCTAATAAGAATGTGATGGCTCTCGTTTCAAGGTTGCAAATTTGATTTAGTTCATCTAAAGAACCAAACTGAGATGAAATGAGTCAGTTTTGATGCACCCAGTAGGCCTGAGGAAGTATCACACTGATTGTACAGTCGGATCATAGACCTCGTTTCCTTGACACGAGAAGGGCCCTTGGGAGCAGGGGAATCTTCTCCCAATGGAAGGATGTACCACTGACGTTCCCCTGCCGATTTTGCCTGGCAAAATGGGCAGAACTTATGGAACAGGCAAACATATAAAAACTATTCAATCATTTCTTCAAAGATCATCGACAACAACATGCAAGATCTCTTCAAGATATACATTTGATGTGTTGTTGTTTTGTTGTTGTTGTTGTTCTTGTTGTTGTTCTTGTTCTTGTTCTTGTTGTGTGTTGTGTGTTGTTTGTTGTTTGTTGCTTGTTGCTTGTTGTTTGTTGTTTGTTGTTTGTTGGTTGTTGGTTGTTGGTTGTTGGTTGTTTGTTGTTTGTTGTTTGTTGGTTGTTGTTTGTTGGTTGTTGGTTGTTGTTTGTTGGTTGTTGGTTGTTGGTTGTTGATTGTTGGTTGTTGTTTGTTGTTTGTTGGTTGTTGGTTGTTGGTTGTTTGTTGTTGGTTGTTTGTTGCTGTTGTTGTTGCTGTTGCTGTTGTTGTTTGGGGGTGTAGCACCACACAGGTACTTGCAGAGCGGCAGTTTCGCTTCAGCCAGAGTCATCCAACGATGCTTGAGACATTTCACCACAACGCCATATCGTGATTGATGGGCTGGTTGGTGATTTCAAACATTTTTTTATTTTTCCATATATTGGGAAGAATACTCCTAACTGACGAACTCATATTTTTCAGAGGGGTAGGGCTCAACCACCAACCAGGATGGGTATTGTAATCCCATGTGGGGATGGGTCAGAACCTCTATGGCTATGGCTATCTTATATCAAACATATAAATCACCACATAATATGCCTTTCAGAGACAAGGTGGTGCTCCACCACTAAAAGTGATGTCGGGATGTTTGTTGGTTTAGTTTCACCGATCTACTTGTGTATTCCCCCTGTCACCCCTAGAAAAGGCCCAGTTATATATAAATATAAACCATATTTTGGCAAACGGGTGCACCATATTGACAAGATAATCCCAAGCCCATGAACATCGATTGAATCATCTTGAATCTATTGCACTAGCCACAGGGTGCTGGACCAAACGTGCGTGCTGGGAGGCAAACTTGTGCGGTATTTTGTCCAGGTTTTGGCCGATGCGTTGGGGGGCCTATGTGGGCCTATGTCCCAACGCACATTTGGGGAATCAACACCATAGTTATGGTTAAAATGCTCCAGTTACCATAGGAAAACCATAGGAAAATGGTGGTTTAAAGACTTTTTATGGTGGTTTAATGGGATTTAATGGGATATACCCTCTTGTTATGACTAACAGTTCGCCATGGAAAATGAATGGCCCCAATCGAAATAGATGATGTTCCCAGCTAGAAACCGCCATTTATGCTTGGGATTGTCCATGGCGAACTGTGAATGTCATAACCAGATGGTATACAATGCTGGGATATTACCAGTTACCAACAGATGTTGCCGTCATGGCTGTCATCTGTTATTTTGGGGTTGTTCGAAGGCGCTGTCGGGTCCTCATTGATGTGTTTCCACCTAGAACCAGCATCGAAATGGAACACCTTGAACACCCCCAAGATGACTTGATAAAATGCCATGAAATACAATGAAATACCATGAAATATTAAATTGTTTCCCCTTGCGATGCTTCTTTGAGCTTGAGTTCCACCCATACTTTAGCAGATCTCTGGTTGATCTCTGGTTGCTCCTTAGGATGTGCCGGGAATCAGAAGCACCACCGAGGTGTCTGCTGATGCTCGGCAACGAGGTGACTGTCTTCATGTGGGCCGCTCGGCAGCGCGCTAGTGATGGATAGTGATGGGTCATTGTCACTAAAGATGATTGAACCATGTTGAACCATATTATCTAAAGTGGCCCATTAAATATCTATGCTCGATGATCTTTATCCATTTTTTGTTTGATGCGCCCCATGGTTGCGATGCGTTATTAGGACGAGCGATTTTCCACCACCTACGCTGCCATGCGCTTGGGCAATCGCCCACGCTTCGATGGAGAGGCTGGATGAAAATGGGAAGGGATGAAGATCTGTATCCCCCTATTTTTGTCTATTTTTTAGTGGGAAAATCATGACAGACCTGTTGTTTTTGGGGACTCTGGTAGATGTTCAATCCCATTTCAAAATGGCCACCGCGGATGATCGGTTCACAAAATTGGTCAACCGTCCACGTTGCAATCTTTCGACAGCAGAAAATTTGAAGGCCAACATAAAGAATCTTACCACCTTGCAATGTTTAATGTTTCCTGTATTTTTGCGAAGTCTGACTTAACGGCAACATCCACCCAAGAAATCCTCCTAAGCTTTCAAAAAAAGGTCATGGCTAGATATGAGTAGACCTTTGTGAATGCTTCATGTCATGTCATGTCATTTCATGTCAATTTGATTGTTCAAAACAAATCAACCAGACTGACAATGAGGGACAGGAACCAACCAAACATGTATAGTCTAAGTAGATACATACAACAATATTAACATGTATATTAAGATATATGCAATGTCAAATTCAGTTTGAGTCAGCATCGCATGTAGCAAAATATAGAAATATTAAAACATATCAATGTTATATCAATATTATATTCAGGATATAAATCACCTCAAATATTTATGATCTTCACAGATATATTCCCAATAAATCCCCATTACGCTGAAAGTCACGTGACTCATTTTACCCCAGCATAGACAACCTGATAATCGCCAAGTGACCCAGGGGTAATCCATGAATCATTGGGGTCTTCTAGCTTATATATACTATACTTTAATTAATAATAATACACCTTTTGATTATGGTTGGCTATCGCACTATGCCCATTCTTCATATATTCCATGAAATCACCAATTTCCATTATATTCATGGTGAACTATGGAAAATCACCACTCTTCATAGGTAAAATCAACCATCAATGGGCCACTTGTCCATCATGTTTCTGGTTATCCACCATTAAACCAACCATTAAATTACCATGAAATCACCATTAAATCATATTAGATCATATCAAATCACCATAAAATCACCATGGAATCACCCATAGAATCACCATGGAACCCCTCTTTCAGCCAGGCGTTTAAGCGCTGGATCACGGTGCGACAGGGCTTGAACTGGAGCGCCAAAGCCTTGTTGGACTCTGAGGCCATGACCGAAGAGAATTGGAGGTGAATCTTCTGTTTTGTTTTGTCTTTTTGCATTCCATTTTTGGAATTATGGTTATGAATCGTTTATATATGATTTATATTGATACTATATATATATATACATCGGTATGTATACATATATATATATATATATGAATCTACCATATATATATATATGATACATTATGATCCTACATGTTTATATAGATTTTTTTTTTTAACTTGTATGAAGAATCAACAAGGAATTATATTATAGATTAAAGACCTACAATATGGGGCATCATGGCATGGAACAACACGTCCATTGTGGATGACTTCGGTTGTTTCCGGCAGCCAATTTCTCTGTGTGTTGTGCAACATACTAGGCAAATCATTACCCTCTGGTAAACTTAGAGTTTGCTATGGAAAATTGCCCATAGAAATAGATGGTTTACCTATAAAAAATGGTGATGGTTTATAGCTATGTTAAGTTACCAGAGTGTATCAATCTGAAGACTGAAGATGTGTTTTTGGTGGTACAACTGGTAGTCCCACCCTGCAGGAGCTGATTGATGTTGGTCCACTTACAATCCATGTGTACAGATGTTTACAGGCTGGGCTGCCTCATAGTTTGCTAAGTTGGTTTGTAAGTAGCTTAGCGATTAGATCTATGGTAGATATCTATACTGTATATCAAATACCGTTTATCCATCAACTTCCCTTTTTTACATCTAAAATATGTATGCGGGCGCTTTGAGCCATGATTTGGGTAAGACATTCCTGGATCGGGATGTCCAAATGATTTTAAGGGTGGCACACATTTTGAACGAAACCTGGTTGCTTTTCACAAGATGTCCTTCCAAGAAGCCGTGCAAGTCCAAGCCGTTGGTGGTTCGCTGAGCTGTTAGCTCCCCCAACAGCCTGGAACTTTGGAACCAGGAATTCAAAGGAAGAATGGTTCGAACTGGTTGTTTCTGGTGATTTTTAAGGATCGGATATAAATTTATATAAAATAAAATATGATCAAATGAAACTGGATTTCCAGCATCATGATTTTCGTCTCTATAGATAGTGACAATGAAAGCATGTTTTCCATGCTGTGGAATTTCCCATGGATTCCCAACCGGCCGTTCCACCACGTCAGGCAGCCAGGGCAATTTTGGAGCACTGGCTATCCAAAGATGATCGAAGTGAAATCATCAACAAGGACGGGTGGTGTTACCGGTGTTACCCTAAATTTGTTGAGCCCAACCCTAAGCCCTCTGGACCATGGAGTTTGCTGGAGCTAGTGGGAGTTAGTTGACTCTATAGATGGTAAATAGTTGGAGTCAGCTGGAATTAGTTGGAGTCAACCAGTTGCTAAACGGGCATAAATTGGTTATAATATGTTATAATCCATCATACACTAAGTGATAAAAGGTTACTAAATGTTACTAATCAGTGAACTAACGTTGCCTATCTAAGTGGATCATGGAGTCATGGTGGTTTCAAGATGTTTCGAGTATTGGACAGCCAAAGAGATGCGGCACCAAAATAGGCACCACGACGGATTGATGATTTCCTGCCCAAAAAAGTTGTTTGCAGGATATCCAAGGTTAGCCATATCCTATAAGCAAACATAACCTGATTGGTGGTTTGGAACCATGGATTTTTATGTTTCCCTATATATTGGGAATTAAAAAAATCCAACTGACGAACTCCATCATTTTTCAGAGGGGTTGAAACTACCAACCAGTAACACTCAACAATGAAAAGAATTTGCAGTTACCTATTGAGCACGAGAGCTTTTTCATTGCCATGACAAGTTGCCAGGGTACATCTGGGATAAGGACATGGTGGTTTTCTTAAGGGTGGCACATAGCATGTCTTCTAAAAATGCTTGCTTTTCATAAACTAAACAGATGGATAACAAGTCCATTTTGACTCATTTTGATTTGTCTTCATCATCATATTCCCATTCATAGCACCATATTAGATTCATTAATATGGTGATATATGGTGTATCAATTCCCATCAAATCACCATCATGGCAAAATTGCTCCAAAAAATCTGGCACCAACAGACAGTCAGATGGGATGCCCCGTCCCCTATAGGAGCTCTCGGAAAGGGTGGCTCCGTCCCGGGAGGCATGCATGAGGCGCGACGTCGAGACTGGGCAGCCTGCCACAGAAAATGGGGGACCTCAAGTTATCATCAAGTTACGTGGTTATAGTAATAGGGAAACATAGGGAAACCAATGCTGATCTACATAATTTATCATAATTCAATATAGGTATCGCATGGTATCCCCAAGTTTGTGAAAGAAACTGTCGGCCGCAAGGTCCGACAGTTTCCCGAAGAAAACGGTGGAATTCTGAAGCAGCTTTTAAGCTGGAGATCTTTGAGCAACAAAAATGGATTCAACGATCTCGTGACACAATGAAATCGGAGCATTCCTGAAGTCCAACCAAAAAAAAAGGATTTCATCACCTCACGTCGCGACCGAAGCCTGGAATCATGGTTAGTAAGGGGAATCATCCATTAAAAAAAGGCTTATTTCAGGTTAGTGAAATATTGAATTAATTTACTCAGATATTTGAACACGTGACTTGGGTTGATGTTTCATACCCCACCATGATGCCATGGCAGTGCAGCTGGCACTGGGTAGCCAAGCCACATGGTGAGTGGGCAGTTGGTACTTCCGATAGTTACCCACTGGTAAAGCATCTACAAATGGCGCATTTTCCAGTGCTATGAGATATTATATGATATGATTGATATCATATGTATATATATATATTGAATTGAATATTGATAGATGCAAATCCCCAGCTTTTTCTAAACTCTCTCAAAACATGAATGGGCTTCGTCTTGATCTTCGATCAACGCTGCAACGCTTCATCCTTTTCGGGGCCCATTCGGGCAGGTATTTGAAGTACCGCAAAGTGAAAGCCATGCTGCCGCAGCCCACCATGGATTCCCAACCTGAGGACGAAGCTTTCCCACCGGTGTCATGTTTGACATGGAGACGGGAAATTCGCCCCTTTTTAAAAAGGGAGATTTATGGGAATATCATCGAAATAAACGCAGGATTTTCCATGTCCCAAATGTGAAATAATGTGAAAGTGACTTGGATAAAGTCACAAGTGAGGATCGATTTTTGCAAATGCCAACCACCGGACCTCAGATTTTGGGCTTCACAAAGCACATATTGATGGGTCATGTCTTTGGTTTATTTTCGGCCTCCCTTGTTTTTGTCATTTTCCAATTGGTCAATTTGGGCTTGATTCTACCAGAATCCCCCCTTGTCAGTTCGCCGGTGGCTGTATCTCTCCATCTCTGGTTGATAAAACATTCCCATGTCAAAAGTGTATGTTTGTTCAACTCACGACGTAATTCGGACCTACCATTTGGTTATGACTAACATAGCCATGGAAAGATCCACCCATTTTTAATAGGTAAACCATCTATTTCTATGGGCCATGGCTTCAAAAAAGCTGTGTTAGTCATAACCAGAGGGAATCCGATGTCACACTGTTACTGTAGATATCCATTTTCCCAGTGAAGAAAAACAATTGGTGAATGATACTGTACTTCTTGAAGAGAAAATCCTTGGAGAAACATGTTTTTTGTTTTTTTTTCCATGGGGGATACCCACTTTATGGCCATGAAACATTGGGGACAACCATGTGATTTGGTGTCTGATTATCCCATGGTCAAACAATCCCAGAATTGGCCAAATTGGCACATTTACAGGAACCCCATTATATACGTATATTTGGTGGTAACAGCCATGGTATGCTGCACATGTCACTCAAATCAATCTATGTTTTTTCCATCCTAATATGAAAATGCCTCCCACTGCTACTGGATTCATTCTGGGGTCCCTGATTTGAGATCTTTAGCATATTTTATGATTCTAATTCCATTTCAGGATGATGAATTCATGTTAAACCTCCGGTTTTTGACTGCTATTTTTCCCGAATGCGTAGCAAGGGTTCCCGTTTCACTCTGGGGGTCTGGGGGCTGAGGGTGTGTTCGCTCGACGTTGCTTCTACGTTCGCAACAGTTCGCAACCGTTCGCAACCGTTCGCAACCGTTCGCAACCGTTCGCAACCGTTCGCAACCGTTCGCAACCGTTCGCAACCGTTCAGCAACCGCGCAACCGTTCGCAACCGTTCGCAACCGTTCGCAACCGTTCGCAACCGTTTTAATTGCTATATTGCCGTGACTATGGTAAGTTCTGCAGCTCTGCAGAAGGGGTGCTTTTTGGAGGTTTCAAACGTCTCGTTGCTTCGTTTCGCGTGGCAGGCGTGGCACTTCGTGACACCCGGATGTGTTTCGTAATGTGTCGAAAGTCGTTTTGTGTGGCAGGCGCAATACTTTTGCGACGTTTTCAGAAGATGCGTTGCAGTTTTCGTGGCAGGAGCAGCACTTTGGACGTGCCCATCGTCATTTTGCGTGGCAGGCGCAGCACTTTAGACGTGTCGTGTTGCGTGTTTTTTGCAAATCGCATTGGCAGGGCTGCGTCAAGTGGCGACAAGGTGCAGATTCCGTGGCAGGCGTAGCATTTTGCGAGATGTGCTGAAAATTAACGGAAGCCTCGCACGAAACATCGATTTTGAGGTAGCAAATTTATGAGGTTCCTACGAGAACTCGTCGGAAAACGTCGATTTTGATGCTACAAAGTGTGAAAATTGGAGGAAGTCTCGCACGAAATGCTCGTTTTGGTGCTCCCACGTGTCTCGTCTCGAGTCTCTGGTTTTCGCGTGGCCTCGCCGTGTCTCCTTTTCGAAGGTTTCCAAGCAGGTTGTCATGTCGTTTTGCATGGCAGGCGTGGCACTTTGTGACATTCCAACCTGTTTGATAACGCGTCGAAATTGTCAAAATTGGAGGAAGTCTCTCGCACGAAATGCTCGTTTTGCTGCGCCCACGTGTCTCGTCTCGAGTGTCTGGTTTTCCTGTGGTGTCGCCGTGTCTATGGGGGAAGCTGCAAAAACTCTCCTTGTCGAAGGTTTCCAAGCAGGTTGTCATGTCGTTTTGCGTGGCAGGCGTGGCACTTTGTGACATTCCAACCTGTTTGATAACGTGTCAAATGTCAAAATTGGAGGAAATCTCGCACGAAATGCTCCTTTTTCTGCGCCCACGTGTCTCGTCTCGAGTCTCTGGTTTTCCTGTGGCGTCGCCGTGTCTATAGGGGAAGCTCCACACTCCACACTCTACACTTTACACTCCACACTCCACAATTTGCACTTTAGACTCCTCACTACGCACTCCACACTCTACACTTTACACTCCACACTTTACACTCCTCACTCCTCACTCGACACTTTACACTCCACACTCCACACTTTACACTCCACACTCCACACACTACACTCTACACTCCACACTTTACATTTTACACTCCACACACTACATTTTACACTCCACACTTTACATTTTTAACTCCAAACTTTACACTCCACACTCCACACTTTACACTCCACACTCCACACTTTACACTCCACACTCCTCACTTTACACTCCACACTCCACACTCTGCACTCCTCACTCGACACTCTACAGTCCACACTCCACACTGTACAATTTGCAAACTCCACACTCCTCACTCCACACTTTACACTCCACACTCCTCACTTTACACTCCGCACTCCACACTCCACACTCTACACTTTCCGCACCACACTCCACACTCCACACTTTACACTCCACACTTTACAATTGACACTCCTCACTCCACACTCTACACTCCACACTCCACACTCTACACTCCACACTCTACACTTTACACTCCACACTCCACGCTCTACACTTTACACTCCACACTCCACACTCTACACTTTACACTCTACACTTTACACACTCTACACTCCCCACTCCACACTTTACACTCCACACTCCTTACTTTACACTCCACACTCCACACTCTACACTTTCCACTCCACACTCCACACTCTACACTTTCCACTCCACACTCCAGACAGGTAACAGGGGAAATAGAATGGGCTAGCGCCCTGGTGCCGCCGACCCCTCCTTAATGGGGGGGTTGGTAACATGCGCATGTTCCCCGCAGCCGTAGGTATGGATCGAAAGTCCCTGGCCGCGAAAAGCCAAGTGTGGATCCCCGGTGAAAGCCATCGTTTTTTACCCAGCCGGCGCTCAAATGCGTCACAATTGGTGTGCTTAAGATTGCTTTAATGAGATAAAATTCTTTGTTCCCATGTAGCTGTTGGTTTTTCCGAAATGGGGTTAAAGTCAGCATACGCTTTGTTGGGTCTTGTGTGGCAGGTTGGGGAGCATTGCTTCATTATCCAGCACACATCAAGGCCGGTCCAGAGGTAGCATGGGGTGTAAGAGGGAAAGTGCAGGAACCGTTAGTTGCCGTCATGGTGAGCACCGATGTAGCACTAGAACAAAGGGTTTCAGAATTGGATGGGTGTTGGTCGATGCTGGGACCCTCGGTGCTTGAATCGGGGATGCTGTTGAGTCATTGTTTTGCGTGAAGCCAATCTTTGCTCAGTTGCAGTGAGACAGACGTGCAAATAGGGAGATGCATGTGTTTTGCACCTCGGCGAAAGCGGCTTCTGTGCCGTTGCATGGTGTGGGTGGCGTGGAGATTTCGGTGGAGCAGGTGGATGGATTGCAGACGCTGCCACTGGCCACTCCACACAGTGTCAGTTCGTGGACGCGTGCATCTACTTTTTGGATCTCAAGACCGTTATCCTCAACTGAAGTTCATTTTGGCTGGCAAGAAGGATGCATCCGGTGCCCACACAGCCATGTTGGTCAAGGGCAGCGGTCCCCCATCATGCTTCAAGTCGTTGAAAGTGGACATGATGGTGAAAGTGTCTGGTGCAGAAGTTCGTGATACGCGGACCAGGCCAGACGGACGATCTCCGGAGAGCGCTTTGGTGAGTTCTCTCAGCATGAAAGAGCTCAACTTAAACCTGTCCTCAAAGCGCAAGCGTGGCGCGGGAGAGCCACTTGGCAGAGAGTTGCTAGGATAGTTGCAGATTGTTTGTTTTGCATTCATCATGAAATCTGCTTGGAATCCAGTTGCCAATCGTTGGCAGCTCTGTGAGTGAGTTTGTTAGGCAAGCGCCTGTACCCAAGGTCTCAAGTGGTCATTTTGGAGGACAATGGCAATGAGTTTGACCAGTTTCCGAAAGCAGAATTTGAGCTGTCTCCAAGCATCGCGGATGTGATCAATGGGGGCGAGGATACCATTGCTTCTGTCCAGGTCAAGGTCATGACTTTTGGTTCTTTGACAGGATCTGAGGATCGTCCTCGCAAAATGATTGAGGTGGCAGATATCCCTGAGGACGGGGAAGAAGTTGGCGTGGTTCGCCACATCATTCAATTGTATGATGGTCACTGCGACAACGTCGCTGTGCATCCTGGTGCCAATTTGGCCATAATTGGGCTCAGTGTCCGCTCTCAAGGCTTGGCTGCGTATGCCAACAACTCGTGTTTGATCCCCCATGTCTTGAGGGCATGATTGTACGCTTCCCTGCAACTGCTTTTGTGCTGCTGGGCAGTCCGCCATGCGAGCGGGCGGCTCGTCAGACTTTAAATTTTCCTTGGTCGCTATCTGGAGGCTGTCCTGTACTTCAACTCACTTGTGCCTCATGTGAGGTCCAGGATTTGTGTTCGGGTTGAAAAAGGTTTGGGCCCTTCACCAGCAGTTGTGTTGGCAGTCTTTTGCCAACCAGCAACTGGATGTACCACTGTGAGCCCAGTTGCAGCCATGGTTGTTGATCAAGTTTATTTTTTGATGTTTGATATGGGTGTTTCTGAAAATAGGGAACCCAAAAAGAGTCATTTTTACTAATAATGAGTACCAAAGGATGATTTGGGGGTACCCGAATTTTGAGAAACCACTATATGGGAGTATTTGTAAGTAAGCTGCCCCCAGTTTGCCAAATCATGCCATGTTGCGACCCTTGGCATCATTGGAAACCATTGCCCGGATCCTATACCCTTTTCTTGGTGTCGAAGGCGCCGTATTTCCAGCTAGTCGGTGGTTATAGGGGTGCTAGTTGGAGCCGGGGGTATGTCTAGGTCCCTGTACAGGGGGAGCTGTTCGGAGCAAGAAGTCACCGCACCGAGCTGGCGGCCCTTTGCGGAACCGCTCAGGCAGAACGCAGACGACGACACCATGCGAAGCGACAACAACCCGCCAGGGGGTGTCAGGAATCATGGTCATGGCCGGGTGCACCGTGATGAACTTGGTGGACCTATTTCTTGGGTTTCATGTGACCCCGGTTTCATGTGACCCCGGTTGCCATTTGTTTAAGGACATTGCGAGCAGCAGGCGATAAATGGTTTTACCGACCAAATTCTATGATGGGACCGTTTGTCCGATATATTTCGAAGATGAAGAACAACAGAAACGGTTAAAGCATTTCACCTTTCCACATTGCACCGCCACCGCAGATGGTTTTATGCAAGTATCTTTCGCAGCAAGAAACAACATGTATAAATAGCAAAAACCTGTTGGTAGCATTGACTGCGCCTTAACCCTTCTTTTTTGGTTCAATATCATTTGAAACGCGTGCCGCGCTAACCGCCTCCGCGACTAGCGACTTTAACCCTTATAAGAACCCGCTTGCATTTTTTTGAAAGAAGCTGCCTGCGCATCATGGGCCGCCGGTTTAAAGATCTCATTGATGATGACCACGAAGATCAAGGAGATACTCGGGCCAATCGAGCACTCACAGCTTTCCGCTCACTGACGGTGAATGCCATCGTTACAGCAGGCAACGAAGTGACTGTGTATAAAAGCCTTTGTGGGCTTTGGCGGCCTATCCTGGGATTACTTCCCCCACACCAACTTTTCCTTTATTTCTTGGCGACATACATTGGGGCGAGATTCTGCTCTGGGCGTAAACAGTTCCACGAGCCATGTGAGTTTATCGGTGGTAGCATGTCACTAGCGGCATTTTTGCAGCTCCTTGACTGTACCCCACCCACACGCAAAAAGGGGACAAATGGGTTTACTCTTCGTGAAGTCGTTAGCAGTGTTCACACGCATCCAATCACAAAGGATTGCGTTGATGTTGGCGACCTGTCCCCGGGAGATCCTTTTCATGTCATGGGTCAAACTTGGTGGAAAAACAATGTAGCAAAAGATTGACTTTGAACCAGCGGCGCAACGTGCTGACAACTGCCCTTTTCATCCTTTCCACTCGATCTATGAGTGCCTTGCAATGCTTAGTGGACAATCCTGGCTTCCTGCTCCAAAATTGCACCCAATTTGGAAAACTTTACGACCATGTTTGTGTGGAGTCTTCTTTTTTTGGCCTGCACCAAGCAAAAAGCCGAAACCTTTTCACCAGTGAACAGAAATTGTTTTCTGTCGAGATGGTGCTGCACACCTTGCTCCGCCAGTGTTGGTTTGAACCAGGGTACTTGGACGCCATGCTGTCTGCTACCACCGCACGATCATTCGCAGGGGCACTGGGGTCGATGAAACTTTTCGGAGGAGCCTTGCAGTTTACACTTTACACACTCTACACTCTACACTCTACACTTTCCACTCCACACTCCACACTCCACACTCCACACTCCACACTCCACACTCTACACTTTACGCTCCACACTTTACAATTGACACTCCTCACTCCACACTCCACACTCTACACCCCACACTCCACACTCTACACTCCTCACTCTACACTTTACACTCCACACTCCACGCTCTACACTTTACACTCCACACTCCACACTCTACACTTTACACTCTACACTCTACACTCTACACTTTACACACTCTACAGTCCCCACTCCACACTTTACACTCCACACTCCTTACTTTACACTCCACACTCCACACTCTACACTTTCCACTCCACACTCCACACTCTACACTTTCCACTCCACACTGCAGACTGGCAACAGGGGAAAAATGTACAAGACTGTTCAAAAAAACTATTGCAGAAGAGTGTTCTGCGTGACTGCATATCCATGTGTTTCGACATCTGTGCCATTAACATACGTGTGAGCATTCGGGTTCGTGGGCTGCATCTTGTTTTATTTTTTACCAACATTTTTGATGGTGAACGCCCTATGAATAGCCCTATGTTTGGTGCTGAAATATCCTAGCTGCTTTCGAGAAGCCTTCCCAGGAGCCAGCAGGTCCAGGTAGGGAGGCGTGGGAATGGTACGACCGGCATCCTGACAGTTCCTTGGCGGTGGCGAAGGAAACAGGGTTTGGTACATGAAGATTTTTCGGGGAAAACTGCCAAATTCCTGTGGATTTAGAAAGCTTTGAACAGCATAAATATGCATATACTACCTATTAGATCCTATTCATTGATGGCCATAGTTGTGGGTAAATCCAACATTTTGAGACATATGAAAAATGTGGATTGCTACTGGAAATGTTGTTGGTTTCCACATAAAAGCAGGAACGGGAAAAGGGAAGACTAAGCAACAACCATGGCTGAAAAAGATGATTTAATGCCATGCAACATGTGATACTTGGGTTTTAGCCAAGAGAAATGGTGATATAATTTAATCAAGAAATGATGCTAATGGGACAACCCCAGAGGTGACCCTAGAATACAGGACTTAGCGACCAGGCATGCCATCCCGTATATTGACCTCGTAACTGAGGGAGTCGTGGTGGGAAGCAACAGAAAGTTGGAGTGGGATCTGTGTTGACGAAGCAAAACAAAAGGTTAGATTTGTGATTTACCTTCTGGTAATTTAACATAGCTATGGAAAATGGCCCATTTACGGTTAATTTACCCATTAAAGATGGTGATGTTCTATAATCTCCTATTACTAAACCCCGCCCAAATACTAAAAACTAGTGTCCATCTCCAATTTTGGAAAATTTCAGATTGGCCAATTTGACTTCTATTTGATCCCCTTTAGAAAACAATGTAAAAATAAAGCTACCATTTGTGGGTTTTCCCCCCTAATACTAAAAACTAGTTCACCCCGGGGTGTTTATTATTAGGGTCTGTCCCATTTTGTTTTAGTTTTCTATATTAAGGTTTTTAATTTAGTATTAGGGGGAAGCTTCGAAATCCAATTTTTGGCAATATTTTAATTGCGTTATATAAAAAAATAATTGATTTTGAGATCGGAAAAAATAGTTTTTATTATTAAGGTTTTTAATTTAATATCAGGGGGAAACTTCGAAATCCAATTTTTGGCAATATTTTAATCGCATTATATAAAGAAATTTAATTGATTTTGAGATCGGAAAAAATAGTTTTTATTATTGAGGGTTTAATTTTATTAATAGGGATCCCTAATAATAAATACACCCCTAATACTAAAAACTACCTGCCGTGTTTATTATAAGGGGGCGTGACGTTAAGTATTAGGAGGGAGGGATTAACTTTTTGTATGTTTACTAGAGGGTATGTGCCATGATGATGTGCGGAAATCTTGAAAACTGCTCCTGCTGAACGGGGTAGACATATATATATATAGCTAGACTTGTTTTCCAGGATTCCAAGTGGAATGCGAAACTCTGACTTTTGCCCTGTTGGGCCTGAAAAAGACATAAAAAAAAGCTCTGGATTCAAGTCATTGTCATCTCTGGTGATGGGGAAACCATGGGAAAGCCGTGGTTTCCAGCCATGAGCCCAGGTTACGAAGTGGACGAAGAACAGCACCAGCCGCCGCCCTGGTCATTGGATGATGTTTCTGGTGTTGATTTATACCCAAGATGCCGTATCGTACCATTAACATGGGGTATATTGTTCTATACAACCTTGAGTGATTCTTGATGAACACTTACCATCTTTTCCATAGATGATTGGCATATTGCATAGTTTTTTCGTCCCAAACATTGCTTTCAAGTCTTTAGTTTTCCACCCTTGCTCAGAATGATCCTGTGGATGGAAGAAATCCTGCACCACCTGGGATGGTTATATAGCCTTTAAATAATGGGATAAACCACCTAATTAGCTGGTGCAGGATTTCGCCACCATCCACCGTAGTTTGAATCGGTCTCATGTCTTCGTAGATGGGTTGAACCCCACATTTTGATTCGTTTTCACGGCCCAGCGGGACGCCCCAGGGACACCCAGGAAAAACTATTGGATGACCTTACCAAATCTGTTCAACATATATCTGGGTAAATTTCATCACGGCCTCACGTTGCGACCGAACCCTGGAATAATGGTTAGTGAGGGAAATCATCCCCAAGATAGCCTTAGTTCAGGTTAGTGAAATATTGAGTAATTTACTCAGAATATGGATGTTCTACCCTTCTTTAGACTAACATAGATATGGAAATTCATTGGTTTCCATTGGTTTCCATGATCTACAAATGGCAGGTTTTCTCTTCTTTAATCTACAGGATGGATAGACGGATGGATCCTTAGATGAATGATTTCAGCCCACCATTGAGTTAGTTTACATGGCGAAACGATGCGTTTCAGCCCACCATGGGATCTCGGGGGTTTTCCGCGGTTTTCCCTTAAAACTTTCAGACAAAGCCACACATGGAAACCCCCAGATTTGGCGGACAAACATGGAAGGAAAACATGAAGCTTCCTGTAGATTTTCCCATGTTTCACTGTAAGGAGCGCAACCACTGCCTTCAATGATTACATGAAGGGCCTTGACGGCTTTGGTGAGAAGGACCCCTGGGTCCTGGTTTGAAGCGCACCGTGCCCATCCTGATGCCTCTGAATACATCACTTACCCTCTGGTAATTTAACATAGCTATTGAACATGGCAATTTATAGTGGATTTTCCCATTAAACATGGTGGTTTTCCATAGCTATGTTAAATTACCAGAGGGTATCTCTAATCAACCTAGTCATACTCGTCTGTATCAATGTCACTAATATCATGAATCTATCAGCCCAGTCATAGCAGCTTCCACTCCGACAGCCACTCAAACAATAGAAGGTCATCAGCCCATTCCACAGATATCCACAGATCAGCATCGACCCAGAGAAATGGCAATGACAGAACCGCCATCTCTCACAAGCATTAATTGGAGAATACACATCCAGCAGGAAACGATTACATACTGTCATACTTGATGATTCTTGATGATTACATTCTGTACGTCTATATCTTCCCGCCAGAATCTTTCCTTGAAAAGTTATCCACTTGAGCAGTGTTCAAAACCCCTGTGGGTTGTTTACTATATGGGGTCCCGGGTTGCAGTATCCACTATATCTTTGTTGGAGATTGTCACAATCCATGAGATGGTAAATCCTCATAATTTACTATCTTGTGATTATTTCATCCAATCAATTGGTTTTACCATGTGATGGTATCACAATTACGGTATGGCTTAATCGATTTGGTTATATATAATATATACTAATAATTTAAGATAGTCTATCCAACAAAAAAAGTAGATTGGCAAAATTACCCCCCTAAATCAGTCATTTCGCATAATTTTGCCATTTTCTATAGCTTGGTGATGCTTGGTTCACAGAGTTCCCAGGAACGTGAGTTGGAGAAGATGGCGGAGCAGCGCCGGCAGCGCAACGCCGAGAATCGTCGCATCCGGAAGAAGCGTCGGAAGAGCGAGAACGCCGCGCGGGAGGCGCCGGCGGTTGGGGCGGTTGGGAACAATAGATCTGTGGAATGTAGGAGTATTATAAACAATATCTATAGATATCTCTATGGTATGTATACAGAATTATATAGACATATATAGACATATGTATTGAGATAATGGAATTATAAATAATATATATATATATATATAATTACAATGTAGAATATGTAAATAATGTCATATATTATATATACTGGTATATGGTAGAATGTTGTGTCCAGAGTGATAGAGAACATGTTATACGTGTACATGCACTTGGATGTATTATACGTGATAGGTAGTTCACAGTTGTATGTAGGGTACATAATACATGTGGTTATATGTGTGTTATTTGATTTAGAACTTCATTGGCTTGGCTGAGTGCAGGTTGCTGATGCAGTGTTGTCGCTTTAGCCAGATGACTGTTTGCTTTTCTTGCAAGCTTGCGTTCTCGTGTCTTTCTTTATCACCAATTGCAGAACGGCAAGGGTGGGAACGGCCAAGCATGCCCTGTGATAGTCAAACATGGCGAAAATATGCGAAAATCCTTTGATGAATTTCCCATTGAGCCCTGCTTTGACTCCGGGTAGATGGATTTAGGGTCCAGCGAAGCGAATGAAGTACTGCGAAGCGAGGCGTTGCAAGACAAGATGGAAGAGGTTCAGGAGGACTACAGGAAGAACTTGCCCAAGGAGCGGTTGCCATTCCTTGGTTGGGAAGTTACCCTCTGGTAATGACTAACACTTTGCTATGGTGTAGAATGCCCATTTAGTTTGATGAGTTACCCATTGAAAATAGTGATGTTCAATAGCTATGTTAAATTACCAGAGGGTATAGATTATCCTAATCGGGATATATCATCCCCAGATGTGCCATGTAGTACCCCTTTAGCTGACTTGGTTGTGATCTATGTGCTTGTGATCATCTCCTTTTCTGGACTTTGAGCACTGAAACTGGTGGTGTTTAGCATTTTGTTTCGCCGCCCAGGCATGTGGCATTGGATACGATGTTAAAGTGCCATTCAATGAATTCACAAAGCTCATGGTGAGAAGGATCGTTCACTCACCGATGATTCTGATACCAGAACATCCAGATTTCCCAGCTATTCAGCATGCTATTCACCAGGATACTGGTCCCAGAGTGAACTGATTCATGTTTTCATGTTGGTGCTATAGCACAGAACTGGCAGGAGAAATGGAACAAGTACCGATAGCCGCTTGATAGCAGCGGCTGAGCATTGGCAGATCTTGGCAAGATTGCCATGACTAGATGCGGGTTTGACTAAGTGGTTAGCAACTGGGGTGTATTATTATATGGGTGTGTCCAAGAATGGGGTATACCGGTGATAAACCGAAAGGTTCAAGCGCAAGTCGCGCCCCACTTTTCCACTCACCTGCAACGGAATCCACAGCCTTACACCAATTGGTGCAGGCTCAAGGGCCCTTGGTCCATAGTGGCCACACGAGCATGTTATATTGGGAATGCACCTGGAAGGTTATGAGTAAGCATGCGAACAGCACTGAACTTACCTGCATTTTAACACGCCCTCCATGCAAGTTTTGGCAACTTTTCAGGGACCAACTTTCTGTGCTTACTTCTTGAAAGTTCGCTGCAAAGGCGCTTGGGACATGGTGGCACCAACAGCGTTCAATGGATGATTCTTCCAATCCACTGCTTCAAGAAACAGCGCAAGATCAACTGCGGCAGTATACTTCTTCTTTACAACTCCGGACCCATCGGTTCCATATGAGTTTTCAATCCAGCTCAAGTATCGCTGAAGGTCTGGATCCTTCGCAGAAGCATACAACATCTCTTCATAGGACAAATTGCGGTCTTTGACCTTGTCCATCTTGCAAATCATGGAGCCCCACTTTTGGATTGACATTCCATCAGGAGTCTTGATCTTAGAGTTCACATGGCTATATCCAAAGTTGGAGGAATCCATATATCCCATGGCACTGGTGCCGGAAGGCATCGGCATGTTGGCAAGACGGGTTGCCGCATCTGGAAACTCACTACCACACATGGAAACTTGATCCCACTCAGTGTAGCGCGGACTGGAGTCCTCAGAGGTCAGGCGACGCTTCGTAGCATCGGACATGCCACCCTTTGGGTCAGGATCATCATAGATACCCTGGAGCTCTTCCATGAACGCCGCGGCTGGCACATGCTCGGCTTTGGAAACCAGAGACTTTCGAAAGCACATCATCACCTTAGGGGTCTGGCCATAGGCGATAGCACGGTGCAGCAAGCCAACGGTCGCACTCACTTCATGGTCAGTCAATGGGCCATCCACTGACTTCGATGCCTTTTTGCAAGGCTGAGACATGGCTGATCTCGGCGTGCACAGGTTTCGGAAAAACTGTACTCACCCTTTTCGGATGTTCGGCAGGTTTGAGGTCACTGTTGATCACAGCTGCACAAGGAAAAACAAAAACCTTCTGCAAACAAACTGTTTTTACAGGCTCGGCACTAATGCAGAATGGCTGGGCTTGCGGCTTATTGATCTTACAGTCACTTATTTATTTAATTATCCCCTTCCCCAGACTATGTGGCTATTATTGTCTTAGACAACTTATAGGCTATTTCACGACCACATGCACAGGCTATACAAAGAGGGAAAAACTGCAAAACATGCTGGGACCCGGCTTCTGAAGGACCCATCACTGGCTTTGTTGTTCTTGCTTTTCTTTGCGGCCCGACTGAGAACATATGGTAATTTCATAGGTATGTTGTTCGAGAATCTCGAAAAGTGGCTTTGTATCGCCCCGCAACTTTGTAAGGCAATCGGCACTCATACGAAGATTATTCACCCAAAATACCAAGATATTCTGCTTCTCAGTTGTTTCTTTTGCTATTGAATAGTCTATCTGGAGGCGTTTCTCCTGACTTATGGCTTGGCTACAACAGCTTCTAGTTACTGCATCAAAGAACCCTTTACTATCAAGAACAAGAGCTGAGGGATTGTCTGGAGTAATTTCTCGGAAGGCTTTTGGAGTAATCCCATACAGTGTTTCAAGCATGATAGCCTGGAAGGCTTCGATGGCGTCAAGACCGTTTTGGCCAGCAAGTGTCTCTGCTGCGGTCGATGATCTCACAACTCGGCGAAGCTTTTTGCTCTGCCAATCAACTATCCAACACAGGGCACGTTTCCTTTCAAACATGGCGGGAACTGTCAGGCATAACAGGTACCCACCCTGGCTTTCGCCATTTGCACGTGTGCCCCATCCTGCGTCAGAGATACACATGATTCTCATTTGTTCCAAAGGGATACCTGGAGGAAAATGCAAACACACTTTACGCTCTTTCATCTCGCGAACAGATTTGTTGTACATCTGCAAGTGGCTGACATCACCTTTATCCTGAATACCCTGAAGGAATGACGCAAGGAAGGATTGGTCGGGACGTGTTGCATTTGCAACCCAAGCTAACTGGCCAGCACAAGTGCGCATGATGGATGCGTCTTTCAGTGGTGTGGACGCGGTTCCATACTGCTTGGTTGGGACTTGTTCCAAGGCATCTATATAGCTTTCTTGACCAATTTCTATGGCAAACGTTTGGGGGTTTTGCCTGATTTCTATCCCCGTGTACCTGATGGTATGAGTTCGGAAATCCCCAAATGGCAACTGCTTTCTGAGGTTTTGAAGAACTTGATCCATCTCCGAAGTTCCCCCACCTATTAGGTCATCTACGTGTACCCCACATACTCCCAGTAATTTTCCATCTTTTCTGAGAACATACAAACAGGGATCTAATTTGCTTACCTGCAGGCCGGCAGCAGCAAGTTCTCTAGACAATCTCATGAACCATGCCCTTGGTGCTTCAGCCAGTCCATAGGCTGCTTTTTCAAGACGCATTAGGTCGGAATCATCTAAGTTCATCCACTGTTTAATTTCTTTTGGGGGTTTGAAGTAAATGTCTCTAGTGGCTGGATCACCGGAAAGAAAGGCTGTTTTTATATCTGCTCCCCACTCCCCACAACTTCCATTTTTGAGAGGCACATATCGTGAGGATGAGATGTTTGGTTTCCTTTCTAAGGGTTGGAGAATCCGTCTGGATATGTCCTAACTCTGGATCTTGCCATCCAACAAGTACTAACCGTGCTTTTGGGGTGCGGGATCTATCATCTGGATCGCTGCTTTTCTTCCAGACCAAAACCCAACGTGCTTTGATTATTCTTTCGGGGGGAATACCACGACTTTTGCATATGGATGTTACCTTATTTTCAATCCAAGAGTTCCATTCTTTTTGCATGGCACCTTCAAACAGTTTACGGTCGTGTGGTGACAACTTTCGGAGGTTTACTTCGACCCTTCTCTGTTTGGCTTTTGGGGTAACCATCAAACATTGATCAAGTACCTCCCACAAACATAGTGGATTTTCCGTGATATCTTCTGGAAGAACATTCATGGAAACTTCAAGTACATGACCCTTGTGAACATTTGATGATCCACTTACCATGAGATCTTCATCATCCGGAACAGGAACTTCTATGGCCTTTTGAAGGTCATCCATTGCTTGATCCTCGACAGGCTGTTGAGGTATTTCTATATCAGGCAACGCATCCTCTGACATCGGCTGATCTGGCGAATCTACTGGAGTGCCAGGCATTTCCTTGGGTGTGTCAGCAGGTATGGTTGGCTCATACTGTTCAACCTCAATTTCAGGATCTATGGTAACCCTTCTACGCTTTTCATCATGCGCAGCTTCGTCGGAGGGTGCTGTCGGATCAGGCAAATCGGACATTGCACGGGCAATTCTGGGCTGTGGCCCTTCATGCAAAACACCTAATGGCGGTGCTCCAGCTGCACGCTTTCGCCAGTACTCATCAGATCGTGAGATACGGCGTCTGATTTTTCGTGGGCCGCCCTCCAAATCATCAGGGGGATCTGGATCATCGTCATCATCATCATCATTGAAATCTTCCTCTAGTTCCATGTCATCATCTTGGGGTTTGTCTGGAAGTAAATCAATGAATTGGCCGGCCTTTTCACGAAGTGACTCGGACGCACGTTCCAGGTCAGGCGAAAGTTGTCCTAGGGACAGTTCACGTGTCAGCTGCCGGAAAGCAGCTTCATCATCCGGCAATGGACGCAATCCCTCTGGTGAACAACGGTAAAGGTAACCATTATATGACACCCAGACTAAACGGGGAATAGGACCATTGCGAGAACTTTCCATACCAATTATCCTACCAGGACCTATCCATGCTCCATGTCTGGTGGCTAGCATCCCTTTTGCGGTTCCCCTGCCCTGTCTTCTATACATATAGACCATTTGACCTTGAACATATGGGCCACGCATGGGGGTGTTTCTCCCAGAGATAGCTCTACGCCATGTTTCCTTGGCATGCTCTTCGAGGAAGGCTTTTGCAGCAGCATCTCGGTGTCTCATGTTGGCTGCAAATGAATCATCGGCTAAAACTTGGGACTGTGACATGAAATTGCGTTGTTCATCAACATCATGTAAGGACCCTGCATGCCTAGACTCTCTACCAAGAAACCATTGAACTTGGGAAAAACCACTCTTTCTTAACTGCTCATTTCTGATGGTGGCGCATGTTTCAATCACTTCCTCAGGGGATGCGTCGGGACAAGCAAGCCAGACACGCTGTGCCATGTTTCGCAAAATGCGATTGGCTACTTCAACTCTACCAAGTTGCCAGTGGCTCTCTGCTGCTGAATGCAACAACTGGACATCGTGTCGAACCAAATACCTTTGGAAATCTGCTGAAATTGTTCGGTGATCAGGATCCATGTAAATGGTCTTTGGGACACCATACGGACGTGTCCAGGCTGCATGGAAAGCTTTTGACAACCCGTGTGGACCTGGCTGTACAACAACCTGCTGGCAGAAGTCTGTGGCCAAGTCAACAACCGTGAGCACATTTCGTTTGATCTCGATTGTCCTACCGGATGCATCTTCTCGGATTAGCTCTACTTGGACATAATCAACACCAACAACTTGATTTGGGCTCTCGGCATGCTGAACTGTGGCTTTGCGATGGGATGGAGCACTCTTGAGTTCCTCACAAACTGAACATTTGAACTCCTTGATGGCTTGCATGATTGCTGGAGAAGACTGGCCTCCATTGGCTAACCGTTTCATTTGTTCAGGAGAAGAATGGCCAGTATTCACGTGCACTTTCT